TGCTATTTTCTAAGAAAAGGTTTTTGTCAGAAAGGAACCGGGTTTCCTAGGAGGATTTCATGAGGGACAGGAGGTTCAGGACCAGCCTAGCTACCTTGTGCTCAGAAGCAGGAAGCTTTCCAGGTCGCTGTGGTGGTGACAGCACGGACACCAACCTAAAGAAATGTCACTAGTCTGGGGTGGGCTAGTTCAAGCCTCAGTGGAGGACAACAGGATGGCTGGGCGGTAGACTCTGGAAAGTTGTGAATCCGTGGTGAAGCAAAAAGAAACAAGGTGTTAGAGAAAATCAACAGTGAGGATATTTCTTTTACTCTAGAATTTTCTGAGAGCAAATTAAAGTTGACCTAGTAATTGGTACAGTGGTTAAGTACTTGCTAACTAAAAGGTTGGTGGTTCAACCCCACTAGGTTCTAGGCTCCACAGTGCAGACTACTTCCATCAGGTGATGGCCCTGGAGACCAGGTGGTTCTACTGTCCCTCAGGGTCGCTGAGCCAGAACTGACTTGGTGACAACAGGTAGTAGCATCTTGATGTTTGATATTTAACTGGCAAGTTGGCAAATGACCAGATTTTACTCAGCTTCTTAAATGTAAATAGTAGTATGGAGACTTGTAAACAAGATCTGCACTCTGTCCTCCAAAGTCACCAACTCGGAAGAGGACCGCTGCATATCCTCACCTTGCCGTGATGTGTGAGTACCTAGAGCTGTCCTCAGTCACCCCAGAGAAGGCAGGCTCAGAGTCCGACCCAGAGATGGAAGGCTGCACTAATGTCCTGCCTGTGTGGAGAGAACCCACTGCAGGAGAAAGGAGGACCCAGTGTCCCTGTCCTCTGTCCCTTCTCTGTCTTCCACTCTGATGGTTTAAATGACAGATCCTGGCAGGACATCTGGGGCCCAGTTAATTGTTCTGCACGGAGCAATTAAACTGTGTGGATTGTAACTTACAGAAGAAGAAGATAATAATGAGCCTGCCTCCCCATACCACCACCTCAAGGCAGAGGCTGGGAGAGCAAGGAAAATTCTTAGTGCTGCAAATGGACCCTTTTGGCTGTCTTTTCAAATAGTCTCTTACTATTACTTTTTAAATTGTGGTTTGAAAGTTTACAGCACAAAACTGTTTTCGTTGTGTAACTGAGACACATACTTTGTAACAAATCAGTTCTCACATCCTAACAGCACTCTTCCACTTCTTTTCCCGTTTATAATTTCCATTCATCCTTTCCTACTGTCTGAACTTCACCCCTGGGCAATGACCTTTTTGCTCTTGATGTTCTGAGTTCCTCTCTCATGTTAACACCCTGTGGGTGTTCACTGGCCTCTGTGATAACCTCGTGTTTAGGATTTTGTTGTTGTTGGGTGCAGTCACACTGACTAGGGCTGATAGCAACCCTGTGAACAGGTCTGAACTTGGCCCTCCCCTCCCCTCATACCTCCTTCCTGCTCGAGCCCATTGTGGTAGACACGCTGTCAGTCCGTCTCTTTGAGGCTTCTCCTCTTCCACTGACTCTCTCCCTTTCCCACCTTAGAGGTGTCTCTCCAAGGATGAGTCCTCCTGAAAATATGCCCAGAGTTTCACCATCCTGGCCTCTTAGGAGTGCTCACAAAGATTCTCAGTCCACGGTATATTCAGAACTTTGTCACATTTCGAGTTTCAGTCCCCATTTTTCTCCCATTCTCAGAGACCTGCTAGTGTGACTCCGTGTGTTCAGCAGTGGTAGCTGGGCACATCACTCTTCTGGTCTCAGGGTTGTAGATACTCAAGGTCACATGGTCAGTTTGTTTTTTGGACAATCTTTGATATCTGCCCCCCCCCCTTCTTTGCTTCAGATTCAGAGAGCGAATAATTGGACCCTAGACGGTTGGTTGGTTATTCACAAACTTTTAAACTCCTAGGGAGGGGAAGTTGGCCCCGGAAGTGTGGCTGTAGGTAGATTTTAACTCCCAGGTAAGTCAGAGAGGCAGTCCGCTCTCAGGTTTACCTGGAGAACCAAGGGGTTTGGACATAAAAGATTTACCTTATGTGGCTGAATCTACTTTAAAATTTGTGGAGAGTGATAAGCTGCCCCTTTTTCCCTAAGGGATCTGTCTCTAAGCCCTTGCCTGACTGTAACTGGACTGATTAGGGAAAGAACCAGAGGTATGGGGTTACACTAGGAGAAAAGGACGTTCTGGTGGCTTGCTGCTAAGGGTTTGTCCTGCCAACCCAAAGGCAGGTGGTGGATTTGTTCCTTGGGACAAACATGGACAATCTCCCATGCAGTTTACACCCTTTGGAAATCTGCTAGAGGATCACTGAGTTGGTTCCAACCTGACAGCACACAACATCACAACTGGGGAAAGGGAGCCCAGAGGGTAGAGAGGGACGCTGCCAACCCAAAGGCAAGAGTCTGAATTTATGAGTGACCCTGCAGAAGGGTGGGCAATCTTCTCCCATGTGATTTACAGCTTCTGAAAACCAGTCGGTTCTAACTCGATGGCAATGAGTTGAATGGGACAAAGAAGCCACTCCAGCTTCAGTCTACATTGTCCTTTATACTAAAATATGGGACAGAGACCCATTCTGGCACTGCAATCCCAGAGGGGTGTGGTTCGAATCCACCAGATGCTCTGCTGGAGGAGAAACAATCTCCTCCTGTCAGAACCGATTTGAAGGTACATGCACAAAAAAATAATAATAAAAAAATATTAAAGACCCATCCTGGAGCGACAGAAGCATCAGCATGACGCTGACGGTGTCCCTCTGGGTCAAAGCCACAGTTTTCACTCGGGTAACATGAAGACTGAGACAGTCCTCACCAGATCTGACTGGTAGCAGCTAGCGTCCTAGTCTACAGGAAGGTGGACACCAATAGCGAGGCAGGCAGAACCCCTCTGGTGGTTTGAATTCAGCAGTGGCAACCTTCCATGTGATTTACAGCCTCAAAACCCAACCAGTGTGAGTCGGTTCCGACCATGAATGAGTATAATCTATCACTTTTTTAAAATTTTTTTTATTTTGTATTCTTTTTTTCAATTAAATTTTATTAATTTTAATGAACATTTACAGAGATTTTGGGTTTCCATTCATTCACTGTTGCACTTTTAATCTATCACTCTTGCAGGCAGGGCTGCAAACCCTGGCAAACGTCCACAAATGTGGACAGCAGACCAAAAGGTTTGCAGGGTTGGTTCTCGGGTTCCATCACCGGCAGTCATCGGAGCTGGTATTCGCGGGACACTATCAACAGGCAGGTCCTGGGGCCTGTGCGAGTCGCTCCTCTGCCGACTCCCTAGCAGTTACAAGCCTCTTTCAAGTGCACTGCCCTGGAGGTCAGGGGCACACTAGGGTCAGGGTCTAGGATTCATTTGGGGCGCCACCAGCGATCTCGGCTTTCCACAAACCCAGTGCTTCAGAACTAAAGTCCGTTACAGAACTAAGCTTATTTTCCCACAACCAATGTCATCTTCCAACCTGGTGTTCGTGCCCCTAACGCCAGGCTCGCTCCTTCCCAACACCTGGGGTCCCCATTCTCGGCCTCTTCTCCCCAGCGCCCCCGCCCCAGGCACAGAGCTCATTCACTTTCGGCCGATCCCACTCGGAGAGGACGCCTCTGGGGCCCAGTGTTTATGAACGAGGCCGCCATGCGGATCTCGGTGCCCACGTGTTCAATCGCGGCCGCCTAGTCGTTGATTCCGCCCTGCGTCCTGTGCCGCGCTGGGCGTGGGGTCGGGACAGCGCACCAGCGGGCGGCCACTCCCGGGCAGAGGCCGCGACCCGGGACACCAAACCGGACCGCGGCCAACCGGAACCCGGAAGCGGCGCCGCGGCCCACGATGCTTTGCGCGCCTGGCCCCTCCCCTTCCGGCGAGGCTAGGCGTGGCTAATCGAGCTCGGCCGGCGTCTCCTGCGCACGCGGTGACTTCCCGTCGCAGTGCTGGGGGTCCGGGAGGCGGGTGTGTGGCCGTGGCAGCCCCGCTCCCCGCGCTCGGACTACGCGTCGAGCTCCCCGGAGCTGGCGAGACGGCGACCACTTCGATCCTCCCCGCCCCTGCCTCCTGAGCGCCCCTGTTCTCGTCCCCGGCACGCATCGTGCCTCCAGTGACCCCGAGCGAAAGCCTCCCGCTCCGGGGCCGGACCTCGGACAGCGCGCCTCCCGCCATGACCTCCCTGCTCGCCAAAGACTCGTACCTGCAGAACCTGGCCCGGAAGATCTGCGCCCAGCCCAGCGCAGAGCCGAAGCGCAAGTGGGGTGAGCGGGGGCCGGGACGCGTGCGGGGGAGACGTGCTCGCTGCCGGGGGCCTCGGGGGCTGATCGGACCACGGCGTGCAGCGAGCGGGCGGGACTGGCCGAGAGCTGTTGGTTAGGGCCGCCGCGCGTCCCTCCCGCGGCCATCGGCCTGGCGCAGCGCCCTCGGCTCTCGGGCATGGCGCTGCGAGACCTTGTAGATCGGGGTCCCCGCTCTTGGCCAACAAACCTGGGCAGCACTGCGCTCTGGGTGATTAACTTAGGATGTGAATTCTTGTTGTTAAGTACCCCCGGGCAGCTACCCGGTGAATACAGTGTAAGCCTGCCCTGTCTTGTGCCCACCTTGTCATCCTGGACACGCTGCTGCAGACACTGTCAGCCCATCGCGTTGGCGGCTCTTCCTCTCCTGTGTTGCCCGTCACTTGTCCAAGCACGACGTCCCTTTCTAAGGACTGGCCTCCCTTAACATTATGTCCAGGCTGTGTGATGACCTTCTCACCGCCTTTGCCTTCAAAGAGTGCAGCCTCACTCCGGTTGCCCTTTTTTCAAGACTATCTGTTTGTCCTATTGGGAGTTGGAGGGGGTGAACTCAGTCCTTTTTCTTAACACCACAACGCAAATGCATCGATTCTCCTCCCGTCATACTTTTTCATTACAGCGCAGGAGGGGAAGACCCTCTATGAGGTGGATCGATTCAGTGACTGGGGTAATCGGGATGGGTGTGTCGGAGGCAATGAGATTGGCACAGGATAGAGCAGGGTTTAGGGCTGTTGTGCATAGGGTCGCTATGAGTCGCAAACGACTCCAGGGCACATAACAACAACAGCTCTCAGATGCAAAGCAGGTGATGGGAATTACTGTCATATGGATTAGACACACCTTAGTCTTTAAACTGACATTATTGCTCTTCAGGACTTGGGAGTGGTCCCTAACTTCAGACTTGGCCAGTGCTATATAGCTCCCACTTTGACTCCTGGTATTAAGGGTGTTGACTGTGTATCCAAGCAGGATGAAATCATTGACAGGCTCAGTGTTTTCTCCATCTGTCACGATGTTGTTTATTGGCTCGGTTCTTGGTAGATGCCGTTTGATGGGCTGGGACTCAGTCTCAGCAGACGATAGCCCCGGCCCTTCCCGCACAGTCCTGACAAGCTCTCTGTGCTTGAGCACATGGTTAAGTCTCTGTCAGTCCGTGTCATTAAGGCTCTTTTTGCTCTCCTTCATCATCTCTCCACTTCTGCAAGGACTGTGTCCTTTCAGGTCCTCCTGATAACATGACCAAACATGGGGTGAAGTCTGTGCCCTTGTCTCTGAGGAGCCCACAGGCTGCGTTTCTTTCAAGATAGATTTGTTGATTCTTTTGGCAGTCCATGGGGGGAAACCCCAACTTATTAATGGTTGTTAGTTTGTTCTTGCTGGTGATTATTTGAGGTCAAGGTAGAGAGCTCTGGTGACCTAGGAGTCGTACTGCCAACCTAAAGGTAGGCAGTTCGAATCCACTAGTTTCTCCAGTGGAGATAGATAGGTAATCTCCTGTCTAATTTACTGCCTCTGAAAACCTGCTGGAGGGTCGGCTATGAATTGGTTCTTACTCGACAGCAATGAATTGTTGGTACCTGTTGGGGTAATCTAAAGGTCAGAATCAACAGCCACGGGTTGAGTTGGTTGGATTTAGTGGTGATATAGTATATTATATTTTTTTTTTTTTTTGCTATTATCAGAAAGGTGGGCAGTTCAAATCTGCTAGCTATTTCATAAGAGAAGGATGGGCAGCCATTTCCTTTGTGAGGTTTGGTGGCCAGGGGACACTGTTGGAAGACTGCTGGGAGTCCGAGGGGCTCCTGGCGATGGTGGTCTGGTGAGAGCTGACCACAGGGTGGCAGTTAGAACCCATCAGCTGCCCGAGGGAGAACCACGCTGGAGGCAGGTCTCCTCTGTCCTGTGGGGCGCTCCAAGCGGGACCCCACTCCACAGCAGTGAGGTAAGCATTTGTTAGGTGCCGAGCGGACCCCTCCACATCCAGCAGATCGAAACCCTGCCTGGTGCTGCACCGTCCTCACCATCTGTTCTCTGCTGAGCCCGTGTCGGTCCCCATGTCCTTCCATCTCACTGAGGGTCTCCCTCTCTCCGACCCTCTGTTTTCCAAGCACGATGTTCTTCAGGGACCAGTCCCTTCTGATCACCTGCCTGAGGTTGAGATGAAGCCTCACATCCTTCCTTCTCAGGAGCACTCCCTCCGGCACAGATCTGCGTGTCCTTTAGACCCGTCACCAGCACCACAACTCAAAGGCGCCAACTCCCCATCTTCCGTATTTATTGTCTGCTTTCCCGGGAGGGGCAGATATTTCCATTCTGGTCCTCAGTTGCCTGTGTGATGCTGCCAGACAATGCGTCCTCACAAGCAGCAGTGTTCGGTTGGCACGTGCTGGTAGCTGTCTGCTGAGTGGGTGTCCTGCTCGCGGGCATCCTCAAGACTGTCTCAGTACCTTCCTCCCTCCTGAGCAGTCCATGAGGACAGGCCAGCAACCCTTGTACCTTTTGTGTTTCAGTTGATAAAACTCAAGTCTCAGAAGCTGCTGGGTCCTCAAAAAAGAAGAGGAAGAAGAAAGCGCAGAAGTTCCGGGAACAGAAAGAGGTGGCCCCAAGGCACAGGCCTGAGTCCCTGGGGAAGAAGTCTCAGGTGGCGTCTGGGGCCAAAGAACCAGCGGCAACCCAGGAGGCAGAGGCCTCCAGCAACCCCAGAGGAGGGGGCCACACCGGGCCCCGAGAAGGTGAGAGGCGCAGGGACCAGGAGGCATGTGTCTTGCTGGGGTCCAGTATGAGGGCCAGCTTGCTCGGTGATGGAGGAGACATGCAGGTGTGCAAGAGGTGGACAGAAGCTGAGTTCCACTTGCACTGAGGAGGCACTCTGTCATGGCTACTGTGGGTGGCCTTGTGGGTCTCAGGGTCCCAGCAGTGTCTCAGGGTCACACAGTGGGCGGCCTTGTGGGTATTGGGATCCCAGCAGTGTCCTGGATTTACACAGTGGGCAGCCTTGTGAGTATCAGGGTCCCAGCAGTGTCTTGGGGTCACACAGAGAGCTAGCTACCTGATCATTGTCAGGGTCCCAGCAGTGTCTCAGGGTCACACAGTGGGCAACCTTGTGGGTCTCAGGGTCCCAGCAGTGTCCTGGGGTCACACAGTGGGCAACCTTGTGGGTCTCAGGGTCCCAGCAGTGTCCTGGGGTCACACAGTGGGCAACCTTGTGGGTCTCAGGGTCCCAGCAGTGTCCTGGGGTCACACAGTGGGCAACCTTGTGGGTCTCAGGGTCCCAGCAGTGTCCTGGGGTCACACAGTGGGCAGCCTTGTGGGTCTCAGGGTCCCAGCAGTGTCTCAGGGTCAGAGACCCTGCTGATGATGCCACTGCGTGTTTGGAGTGGCCGCTAGGGGGCGTGCAGGTGGAGGTTGGGATCAGCCCTTCACCCTGGTGTTTGCTCCCATAGAGCGCCCGGCTGCCCAGCCCGACTCTCTGTTTGCCCTGGATGTCCTGCGGCAGCGGCTGCATGAGAAGATAGAGGCGGCACGGGGCCAGGTAGGTGCAGAGGTGCCCTGGGGCATTGGAGGGATGAGCTTGCTGGGGGGCTGAGGATTATAGGGGAGAACTGAGCCAGCCGTGCTGTCTGCCCCACCTGCCCCCAGCCCTCTCCCCGGGGCGCTGTCCACATCAGGAGCAGCCTCCTGCTTCTCGCTCTCCGGGGACAGCTTGTGCACCTGTCTTCAGGACATGGTGGTTCCAAGAAGGTGGTGTTCTGGCCCTGAGGTCCTCCCACAGTCACGTTCTCCTCTGTAATGAGAACACGTGGAGGAGTGCATGGGAGACACAGTCCGGGAAGTGGTCGCTTGTGACCAGGGCTGTGTCCAGCACAGAGACCCTCGGGCATTTGCCTAGCACCCAGGCCCGGTCTGCCGTGCTGGTGGGCTCAGTCAGCCCCAGCCTCTCACCCTGCTGTGATGGAGGGGAGTCACTGGATGCTCTTGTGAAGCCCTGCTGGTCAAGTGTCCGTTACAGGGTGAGGACCTGGCCACCGCCTCCTGTTCAGGTGCCTTGTCCCTCTGGGGTCACGTGCAGTCTGGGTGTTAGACCCAAGCATGGTGGACATTTAGTGGGTGAGGCCTGCACAGTGAGTGCCTCCCTGCCTGCTCTGAGGCTGCCCTAAGTCTCGGACCAGACAAGGGCCATGGCCATGAGGGAACCAGGAGTCAGGACTTCCCTGTCCCCAGGGCAGCACCAAGGAGCTGTCCCCTGCTGTTCTGGAGAAGCGGCGCCGGAGGAAACAGGAGCGAGAACGGAAGAAGAAGAAGAAGAAGGAGCTGAGGGCCAAGGAGAAGGCAGCCAAGGCTGGGAAGGCCGAGGTGACCACTGAGCCGGCCCCCCAGGTGCCCCACGCAGAGCCGCCTGAGCCCACGGGGCTGATCTTCAACAGGGTGAGTGCCGCTGTGTGGTCCCTTCGAGTAGTCTGATGTCCAAGTTCCTGGCTCACCAAGCAGTGGTGCCCCTTTGGTGCCAGGGAGGGTGTGTCACCAGCTGACATGTCCACTCCTCTAGGTAGAGGTGGGCGAGGAGGAGCAGGCCACCAGCAGGGCGCAGCGGAGGAAGGAGAAGAGGCAGCAGGTGAAGGGCAACCTGACGCCGCTCACCGGCAGGAACTACCGGCAGCTGCTGGAGCGCTTGCAGGCCCGGCAGGCACGGCTGGAGGAGCTGCGGGAGAAGGATGAGGGCCAGGCGCGTGCGCTTGAGGCCAAGATGCAGTGGACCAACCTGCTGTACAAGGCGGAGGGCGTGAAGATCCGGGACAGCGAGCCGCGGCTGCAGGAGGCCCTCAAGCGGAAGGAGAAGCGGCGGGCGCAGCGGCAGCGGCAGTGGGAGAAGCGCACTGCGCACGTGGTGGAGAAGATGCAGCAGCGGCAGGACAGGCGGCGCCAGAACCTGCGTAAGCTGAAGGCCGCCAAGGCCGAGCGACGCCTCGAGAAGGCCCGTAAGAAGGGTCGCATCCTGCCCCAGGACCTGGAGCGAGCCGGCCTATCCTGAGCCCCAGACCAGCCTCGGGCCCCACAGACCGGCCTGTCCTGAGCCCCAGACCGGCCTCGGGCCCCACAGACTGGCTCGTCCCCCAGACCGGCCTCAGGCCCCACGAAGCCTTGGACCCCACAGACCAGCCTGTCCTGAGCCTCAGACCAGCCTTGGGCCCACAGACCGGCCTCAGGGCCCTCCAGACCAGCCTTAGACCCTCTCGTTGTCTGGGGCTGCAACAAACCAAGTGACTCTCTGACCCTGGTTATCCTCCTCACTTTGTGCAGGTTGGGAAGTGCCTCACTGCAGGATCCCACCCTGGGGGAGCCATGCCACCCAGTGGCGCCTCCCCCTCAGTCGTACCCATGGGCCCAGAAGCAGGAGGGACAGGCCTACTGATGGCCATGCTGGACAGCCTTGCATGCGAGAGCTGGTACTAGGACAGGGAAGACAACAGGCCACCTGGGTCAGCTGGGTACTGACCAGGAGAACCAGGGCTCCTGTCCTCCCAGCCATTGGCCCCCTTCTGTTCCTCAGTGGCCTTAACCACCGCCCATCTCAGGGCCTGCTTCTGACTGAGGACAGTGTCCCTTCTCTGGTCCGGGAGGAGCAGAAAGCAGTCCTCAGTCTTGGAGTGGGGTTAGCAGTCCCCGCAGGAGCACAGAGCCCTTGTGTACAGGGCACCCCGATGGCCACACTTCCCTGAGAAACTGTTCTTAGACAGGCTTCCGCTTTTAGCGAAGTGGGGAGCGTGCAGCTCCCTGAGCAGGCAGGGTTCTGGCTGAGCTCAGGACTCCCCTCTCTGGTAGCCAAACCTGAGTGCTCTACCTAATGTAACGACTTGTGAGGCGTGAGTGGGCCATCAGCGTTGCAGGCTCAGGATGCGCACACCAGCCGTGAGATGACCTCTGGAGCCCCCTTCCAGAGAGGACTTGCCCCGTGAGCTGCAGGGAGAGAAATTCACATCTGAACCGAGACTGTCCCCCTTGAGTGCCCCCGGTGGTGCCCCTGCCTGTGTCCTGCTGCCATGCAGGATGCCTCCACTAGGGAAGGTAACCTGGCAACCCAGGCCATCCCCCACCTGGCTTCTCCCTTTCCCTGTCCTGGGTGTCCCCTCCAGTAAATGCTCGGGCTTCTGGCTGTTCAGTGTGTCTGCTAGGGGCGTGGAGCTGACACCGTCTTTATCTAGACTGTCAGTTCTTCCCGTTTTTGTAATTCCTTCCGTAGCTGTTCAGGTTGCTCCTCTGCAGTGTGTTTTTTCTGGTTGGCTGTCTTAATGCCTTCCAGTGTTTGTTCTGTCATTTGCATCTTCTTCTGTATTTCTTCTGTTCTCTGTATCTGGGGTATTCACTGGGTCTGGTTTTTTAGGAGAAAGGTTATGTTGTTTTATCACAATGACTAAGGCAGACAGCTGCTTTCTTGACATTATGTGAGGCTTTTCTTAGATGTTCGGTTGTTGGAAGTATATAATGACCCAGGGTATGGGAGTGTTTTTGTGAAGGACCTGTATGTTGGTGCCTACCCTCTTGGGAACAAGTCAGCCCAGAGTGAGATGACTTTGCCCTCGGGCCTGACCTCTTCCACTAGAGCTTAAGAAATGCCACATCATGAAGCTAGACAGCAGTGTTTAAGGGCGAAGGTACCTGTATTGTTGGTGCTCCTGGCTCGGGACAGCGGGGACAGTGGCTGAATGGGTTCCAGGCCGTGGGACAGCAGTCTGGGTCACACGGAGACTGCAGCCCCACAGACTGGCAGGCCTGGGTTGTCTTCAGCCAGGTGTAAGTCATGATTTTTTTTTTTTATTTTTACTTTATTATTTTGCGTGTGTGTACCGTCAAGTCAGATCTGACTGGTACAGGAGGAAATTTCCTCTCCTCCAGCAGAGCATCTGGTGGATTCGAACTGTGTAACTCTGGGATTGCAGTGCAGCTTCTTGCCACTATGCCACCAGAGCTCCCTATCCTGAATTATTTCCCAGTAGAAGGAGCTCTGGTAACACAGTCTGCATGGAGTTGCACTGCTAACCCTGAAGTGACGTCTCTCCAGTGGTTCAAATCCACCAGCTGCTCAGACGGAGAAAGATGGACAGTCTCCTGGTGATTTCAGCCTCTGAAAACCTGTGGGAGGATCAGCTTCAAGTTCCAGTTTGAAGGCAGTGAATGAATGAATGTGTGGGAATAGCCAGTGGTGGTTCAGAGGGTGGTACTGGGTGTCTGTGTACTTGACTTTGTAAAAAACAACCTTGTTTCTGATTTTATAGACTTGACCTGAGAATATGCCTTTTCATGTTTCAGTGTTTTTGTGTTTATTGAGAATCCCTTTATACCTATACGTGGCCTGTTCTGGAGAATGTCCCCGTGTACTAGGGAAGAGAGTATATTGTGCTCTTGTTGGCTTTAGTGTCATATGTGCCCACACACCCAGTTGCTTCTTTGTGATATTTAGTTCTACATTTTTATTGAGTTACTTTCTGGTCAAAGCCCATCAATATGTTGCCTACAAGAGACACATTTAAAAAATGGAGAGAAAGATTCAAAATCAAAGGCTGGAAAAAAAAATATACCACACAAATGACAACCACAAAAAAAGCAGATGTGGCAATACTAATTTCTGATAATATAGACAGCAGAATGAAAACCACGGTAAAAGATAAGGCATTACATACTAATTAAAGGCACGATAGATCAAGATGACATAACCTTGGCCAACATTTACACACCAAATGATAAACTTGCAAAAATACATAAAACAGCGATCAACAAACTTGAAATAGCACCACATAGTGGCAGGAGACTAACACAAAGGGCAGATCAAACTCAACAAAGATGCAGAAGATCTAAATGATACAGTCAGCAACCTTGAGCTGTGCTCTGCACCTCACTAAAACCCAATTCACTGTCTTAAGTACATTCTTCAGAATTGATCACATATTAGGACACAAAGCAAATCTCAACAAAGCAAAAAACATTGAAATAATATAAAATAGCTTCTCCAACCACAATGCCGTAAAACTAGAAATTAACCACAGGAGGGTAAATCTTAAAAAACCACCCAAGTGGAAACACTCTCTGCTAGAACAAGATTGGGTTATAACATAAGTTGTTTGAAACAAATGAAAAAAACAACAAACTAAAACCCCTGGGATGCAGCTAAGGGCAATCCTTGGGGTGGTTCATAGTGATGGGTATACACATAAAAAAGGAAGGGGAAAAAAAATCAATGATCTATCTTGATGCCTTCAAATACAAAAACCAATAATCCTACAGCCTCTTAAAAAAAAAGGAAATTATACCGGCGCTGGCTGAAAATAACCTGTGACTTCATCCATAGCCACTGGTGAGAGTCAGCGCCCAGAGCCATCAGGGGCTTTAAGCTCATTGCCCACTGCTGTGGTGTGGACAGCTGAAAGATCCAATTTGACGGTACACACACACACACACACACACTTCTTTTTTAAAAAAAGATACTTCAGCAGTCGCGGCCCTCAGCCCCCGGGTTGGGGCGAGCCGTCGCGGCCCTCTGCCCGGGGCGGGCTGCCCTCAGCCCCCTGCCCAGGGGGAGCCGTCGCGGCCCTCTGCCCGGGGCGGGCTGCCCTCAGCCCCCTGCCCAGGGGGAGCCGTCGCGGCCCTCTGCCCGGGGTGGGCTGCCCTTGGCCCCCGGCTCGGGGCGAACCATCACGGCCCTCAGGAGCAAGAAGGCAGGCAGCTGTAACCCAAGACCACCAGTGGGGTGATAAAGTGTCCTCCCTTCCCCCCTTTATATCTACGCCCCTGTTCAGCATGAAGAAGCCAGAGAGTCGGCATCCAATTCCCAAATCAATAAGACAGTTGGCTTAATTACTATTGGAAAATGCTTGTCATTCCTCTGTAGCATCTGGTCCCCACTGGACCCTCATCATTTCCTTCACCTGCTCCCCCCACCGACCAAACTGCAGCTCTGCAACTGCATCCTGGCCCATCCTCACCCTTCTGCCCCCAACCCTCACCTCCTTGTACCCCCAATATGTTTTTCACAATAAAAAAATATTTTAAAAAAAGATTTTTTTAAAAAAAGGAAATTATAAGGACAAAAGCTAAAATCAATGAGAGAACAAAAACAAGACCAGGAGCTGGTTTTCCTAAAGGGTTAATAAAAGTTACAAACCACTGGCAAACTTAAGGAAAAAAAGGCTCAGATAACTCTAAGAAACTACAGAGGTGACATCACAACAGAACCAGATGAAATCTGTGATACCAGAATACTATGAAAAGCTACTCTGATAAATCTGAAAACCTAAAGGAAATGGAAAAATTCCTTGAAACTCTTGTCTTGCTCAGTTTGACATGGACAGATGAACATGTGAACAGATTAAAGAGAATTCCCTGTAAGAAAAGTCCTGGACCAGATGGCTTCACAGCTGAATTCTACCAAAAATTTAAAGAAGATCTATCACCAATTTAACAGTATTTCAAAAATATAGAAAAAACACTCCCAGAGTCATTCTAAGAAGCAGTCATAACCTAATACCAAAACCAGGCAAAGATACTACCAAGAAAGAAAAATATGAACCAGTATTTCTCATTAATATAGATGCAAAAATTCTAGCCAATAGAATCCAAAAGCACATTGATCCCTTATGAATAGGGAGCAGACAAGCATGCCCCTGTCACCATTTCTAGTCAATATTGTATGGGGGGGATTGTATTGGAAGTACTTCCTAGGGCAATATGACAGAGAAGTAAATGAAAGATATCCAGGTAGAAAAGAGATGGTTAAACTGCCTCTATTTGCAGATGATATAACAGTGTACACAGAAAACCCAAGGACTCAACAACAAAACTATTGGAGCTAGTAGACTAGCAAAGTGGCAGGATATAAGATCAATATCCAAAAACCAGTGAGATTCCTCTGCAGTAACAACACAGAGGAAACCAAGAAAGCATTTATAATAGCCAACCACAAATTGAGATTCCTGAGAGTGACCCTACCTAGAGACACAGAACATTACTGTGAGAAATAAGAGACCTCACTAAGTGGGG